GAATTTACTCTGTAAATCTTCACCCAAATCCTAATAAAAAAAAAAAAAAAAGAAAACAAGGTAGATTTGGGGGCAATGAGAAATTTGAGAACAAAACTTTTGGTGATTCACTTAAAGTATTATGGAATTTGATATTGTTCTTACATTGTCATAAATGTACAATTTACATGGCTCTGATTCATAAAAGAACACAGAAGAGACACATGCTTATCTATGTAATAATAATTTATAAAATCTGGCTATTTTGAAATTTAAAAAAAACAAGCTTACACAGCTCTTATTAAATTCCTGCCTTTGAATATTTCCTATTAAAATAAAAATGTCTTCATTGACTTTTCTAATTTTATGAACTTCATGGAAAATTCAAATAATACATTAAAAATAAATGGTACTGTCTACTCTTACAAGTGAGGAGCTCTGGTGGTAGAGTAGGTGAAGTATTTAGCTGCTTACCACAAGGCTGGCAGTTCAAACCCACCAGTTGCTCTGTGGGAGGAAGATGAGGCACTCTACTTTCATAAAGATTCATAGTCTTGGAAAACCAACGGGGGTCGCAATGAGTCAGAATCGACTCAGTGGCAGTGGGATGATTGGTTTTTTGACTTTCACAAGGAGCACAGCAATTAAAATATTTGGCTGCTAATCAAAAGGGAAGTGGTTCAAACCCACCAGCTGCTCCATAGGAGGAAGACAAGACAGTCTACTTCTGTAAAGATTTACAGCATTAGAAAGCCTATGGGGCAGTTCTACTCTGTCCCATTGGGTCACTATGAGTTGGAATTGATTTGATGTCAGTGGGTTTTCAGTGGACTATGAGTCGGGGCCGACTCAACGGCATATAACAACAACAACAACAACAACAACAACAACAACTCTCACAACCCCTTAGGCAACTGATTCTCTTTGGTATAAGTTGAAGAGGTGTTATTTACTGTGTGATCCCCACAAAACACCAAAAGTATAGAGATGGTTATAAAATTAAAAAAATTCATAACAGATAAAAATATGTAGCTATATTCACACACACAAGGAGCCTGGTGTCACAGTGGTTTAAACTCTCGGCTGCTAATCAGAAGGTCGGCAGTTCAAACCACCAGCTGCTCTGGGGGAGAGAGCTGCAGCAGTTGCTTCCATGAAGATTACAGCCTTGGAATCCCTATGGGAGCAATTCTACCCTGTCTGATAGGGTTGCTATGAGTTGGAACTGACTTGACAGAAGAGAGTATACACATTCATCTATAATCCATATATATATGTATATATGTATGTTTACGTAAAGGGGTCACATACTATATAATCTGGTGTTCTTTTTTTTTAAGCTTAATACTTTGGTGTTCTAGTTTCAAGAAGAGGACAGTGGTGGTTCAGTAGTAGAGTTTTTGACTTCTATGTGGGAGACACAGATTCAATTACTGGCCATGCACCTCATATATAGCTGTCACCTGCCGACTGGCTGGTGGAGGCTTGTGTGTTGCTATGATGCTGAACAGGTTTCAGTGGAGCTTCTAGATTAAGACAGACTAGGAAGAAAGGCCTGGCAATTTAGTTCTAAAAATCAGCCCATGAAAACCTTATGGATCATAATGGTTCAATCTATAACTGATCAAGGGAATGGCGCAAGACCAGATAGCATTTCATTCAGCTGTGCATGGGGTCACTATGAGTTGGCAGCTAACTCCACAGTAGTTAACAAAAAGTTTCAAGGTAGTGAATTCAACTATCTTATTCTGTAAATTTATTCTATATTTCAACAATGTTGAAATGATAGGAGAAATAAAAACTAGGGGAAAAATCCATATAAGTATACTGTATAAATGTTATAAAACAAGAAAGAGAACCATGGGCAAACAGGAAATTTTAAGAATTTTTGGAAGGTAAAAATGGATAGACTAGGAATGAATTAGGAGTTAATTACTGCCAAAGCTGAGCACTTAATTCAATCAAGAAGTCCCCTTACCCTATTTAACATCTATCCCTGGATAAAGGAAGTTTCATTTTTTTGTTGTTGTTTCAATAATAATTTAATTAATATTTGGGGGCAGTGTACTATTATTTCTGCAGGATAATTTTCTACACTTGCTAGATCAAAGAGGCAGCATATTTTCTTTAAGACATAATGCCAGGATGGTCACCTTTAAGAAATAACGTACAAATTTATACTGTCATTAACAGTGTATGGCCCTTTTTTGTCCATATCTTAGGTCAAAATGCTATTGTAGCTTACTTTTAATTTATTGTTTTCAAACATTCTGTAATTGAGCATTTTGCCATATATTTAATGATGATTTTGTATGTTTTTCATTTGTTCCCTTTTCTACTAGTTATTTGCCGTTCTTTGAAGGAAGGTTGGGCAATCTACTTCTGTAGTGAGACCGCCTTGGAAACTCACAGAGGGGTCGCTATGAGTTGGATCCAGCTCGACGGCAGTGCATTGCGTTGCACTGCGTTGTGGCTCGTAAGAGATTCTGACGTATTTAGAGCATTACCCTCTGTCTGTCATATATGTAGCAAATATTTTACCCAGTTTGCTCCTCTGCAATTTAATTTTGTTATGAAATGTGAGAATGACTGCACAGTGGGTCAGGTATCATTTCAGCATGTGGTATTTCAATCTGAACATTGCTCTAGGAGGAAATTTCACAAGCATCTTTGATGTGCCAGATTGTTTATGGTATCTTCAGCTATACTTAGTTGAATCTGTCAGTCTTCTCCTTAATGGCTTTTTAGCACCAGTGTCATTCTGAAGGGACTCCCTCCTTCAACAATGGTAAAGTATTCTATTTTTTCTTCACGAATTTTTACACACACACACACACACACATATAAATTTTAAGACTCCATTTGTCTATAATTTTTTTTATATATTTGATGCAAAGTAGAAATCTAACCTAAATTTTCCTACATGGAAAAGCAAAGCAAGTGTCTCTGTACAATCTCCTGAGTGTGATTTGAATTGATTTCAAATATTAACCTCATCATATACAAAAGAATGTAAAGACTAGAGCTCTGTGGTTCATCTGCTATTATTACATACACATTCTGCCATGTGAGCTAGCTCTGTGTGCCTTTCCTTCTAACGTGTATGATCCTGGATAACAGCATCCCTTGAGTTGACACTGTGGCTAGCAGAGAGCTGGTGCTCAGGAAATACTTGATAATGAAGAAGCTAAATGTCCCCCAGAGCCAGACATGCTGTGAATATTGATTCTAGAAAAGTAGTGGTTTCAGAAAAAGTCAAGTGGCCAGAAAAAGTCCTCTATAAATATTATATTATGTGTTGTTAGTTGCCGTCGAGTTAATTCTGATTCACGGCAACCCCAAGTGTGCAGAGCAGAACTGCTCAATAGGTT